GAGACAGGAGGATTCCTCAGGCTGGCCGGCCAGCCAACCTAGTTGAATTGGTCAGTTCTAGGGTGAGAACTATCTCAAAAAATAAGGTGGACATCACTCTCTGGACTATGTATAGGCATATATGGTCATGTAAACTCTCTCTCTCTCTCTCTCTCTTTCTCTAAGGCGGAGGCAAAGCAGCGGTGACAGATGGCGGGAGAAAGGAGGTCAGTACGAACGAAGGGCTGGCTCTTGGGTTTGCTTCTGAAGCCGCCCTGTATTCATAGACTACTTCGGGTTCTAGGCCCCACAAGCCTGCGGTCCTGACCAAGGCGCCCCGGCCATTGCAGTCGGCGCTTCTCATCTCCACTCCGCCTTCAGTCACTGACTTTTCTAACTTGACTCTACCCTGCTGCTCCTTTGTGTGGAGCTGAGGGCACAGGCCACTGTGGCTCCTGGAGCTTGGCTGCATCCAGGAAGGCCCCAGGATGTGACCTTCAGCCTCATTTGACCTGAGACCTCAGGCTCCTCAGGCCAGGCTGCTCTCGAGGGGCTGAGGAGGAAGCTGAGGCCCGAGTCGGCCCTGTTCAGTCCTGGGAAGGGAATGAGAACCTGACCAACCTCATAACTGGAAAAGCGCCTGGAGGAATGTGGAAGGACACAGAGCAAGGGCCAGGGGCCCGACATAATGAAGCAGAGGAAGACATTCCTGGGTGGTGATGGAGTAACATGGATACTCAGAAACTCTCAGGATGAAGACCAGTGACGAAGCAATTCGACACTCATGGGAAGACCACGTCAGCTCAGAAACCTCTTCGGGCTGTGGAGCAAGCTTCCCTCTAGGGCCACAGATGGTCTTTCATGCCACCGTCTGCAGAGTCAACAGCTGGCTTTTTCAAGTGCACACGCTAGTCAGAAAGCGGAAGGGGTAGAGATGCTACTCTGCATTAATTACTTCAGGGTTACCATATTTTCCCCGGAAATGTCAATAATTTTAATAAATGTGAGCAGAAAAAACCTAAAGATACTGAGTCCATCGTTAATAGCCCCGTCAAGCAGTTCTGCAAGGGTTAAGATATGCCCTGCACTGTTTCTCCCATCTTGCAAGGACCCACTTAATTGCTGCAATGGCGCTAGGAGTTAGTGGCCACTACTGGACCCATGTCACTGGCAGACCAAGGTACAGAGGTCAACTAATCTACCCCAAGTCTCACTCCTAGCATTTGGCTGGAGCAGGAGTTGAGCCATGGCACTCCGACTTGAATCTGCACCATTCATCGGGCTGTTTCTTTGAAGTGGGAAAGGGTCTAAGAAAACAGGCAGAGTAGTGACTTACCTAACCCCATCCCTACCTCTCTAGGAATTTGAGGGATTTTTTTTTTTTTTTGAGATAGGGTCTTGATATGCAGCCCTGACTGTCCTTGAACTTGTGATCCTGTCCAGCTAAAACAAATTTTATTATTATTATTATTTGGTTTTTTTGAGACAGGGTTTTTCTGTGTAGCCCTGGCTGTCCTGAAACTTGTTTTGTAGACTGGGCTGGCCGTGAACTCACAGAGATCCTTCTGCCTCTGCCTTCTGAGTGCTGGGATTAAAGGTGTGCACCACCATCGCCCAGCAACAAAATTTATTTATTTTTACACTTACTTATTGAGAGAGAGTGTTGTGTGTGTGTTCACGTGTACATGTCATGGAGCCCATGGGGGATGAGGACAATTCTCAGGAGTCAGTGTTTGCCTTCCACCACAGAGGTCCCGGGGTTCAGACTCATCTCTTCAGACTTGATGGCAAGCACCTTTACCTGCTGGGCTACCTCACCGACTTCAGCGGATTCCTAAATGCTCTTTGCCATGTACTGCTTTACATTCTATTTACCAAAGAGACCATGGGACACAACACATTTGGACTTACGTTGACATCTCCCAAAAGTTATTTAAAAGTCAGGGATTGTTACCCTGTCTCTTGCACAGGGAAGATAGGAAAACAGAATCAGAGACTCTGAGATTTTTGGCTCCTTTGATGCTGTATAATTGAGCTTTTGGTTATTGGAAGTCACCTCCAAAAATATCAGGTATAGATCAAAATAAAGATGAAAAAATGTGAGGCAAGCTTCAGATTCCCACGGAAACTATCCACACACCCTTTGTCCCTGGCGACAACCAAGTTTACCACCGCACTCTGTACGGCAAAGTACTTCTGACATGGGTTGCAGTCAAGGGGGCTGGATTTCTCTTCATCCACCAGCCAACCCCCAGTCACACAGAATGCAGCTAATCATGATGGCTTGTGTTGGCAAATAGGCTCCTTTTCTGTTTTTTAAAGAGATCATCCAAGGGAGCCTGGGGACAGCAGGCAGGAGAAGAGCCAGACACATGGAGGTGATAGGGGCTAGAAATGCAGGCAGGCTGAGGAGGGGTACCCTGGCAGGCCATGTGCTCTTTGAGATCAGAATCTACATGCAGGCTGTGGGTCAATTCTTGACATGGCTGGAAGAAGCTCAGTGAAGGTCCAGGAATGGTACCACAGCCAGGCTGCATATGGTGTCATAGAGAGGGAAAAGGAGTGAGGCCAGAGGGTGAAGACACAGTAAGGTCAGACGGCAGAGCGGGCTTCCTGGAAGGGCAGGGTGCCTAGTGCTTCAGACTCTGGCTCAAGGGATGGAGCCAGGCTGTGCCCAGCACAGCTCTCCTCTGCCCATGGCCTGTGCCTTCTGGGGTTGGGAAAACCTCTCACAAGTTGCTTTGTTTAGAGACTCTGTCCCCATCCCTTCTCCCCCCTGCATCTGTCCTCTGTTTAGAGTTGTGTGAAGCGGAAGACAATTCGGGGCTTATTAGTGTCCCAGGGAGACATGTAACTTGTGCTGCTGGGACCCAAACAGCGCGAGTCTTAACAGCAAACTCCAGCGGAGTAAGGACTGAGGAATTGTCTCACCTAATTACAGGGACTGGCTCTCTCTGTGTTTGTGATTCGGTACGGTTGTCCGATCGCTTTTGATCGCTTTTCTCCGTTTGCCGGCTCAGGTCATGCTGGAATTGTGCTAATTAGAAGAGAAATGGACAGAGTGATCCTGTCAGCCCCGGTTACTGGTGGGGACAAAGCAGAATATTATTCTGAGGCAATGTTTTGTAAGAGCCCTTCTCCTGCTCTCATTAGGAGGAAGAGGCCCCCAGGAGGGAAGTTCCCAATGCTTGGCCTGGCTAATGGAGCATTGGGGTGTTCTTGTGCTAACTAACAGGCTCTGCTAGCCCTCATGCCAACCAGGGGCCTCACAGTTGCCCCTGGTATCACCTGAAGCCTCCAACTGTCCTTGGTCTAAAAGAAAGTGCCAGACAAAAGGTGGGAAGGTTGATGGCCTTTTCAGACACAGGGACATACTTCCAATGTGGCAAAGATTCTAAATAGGTATGAACAGCCAGTTACAGGACAGTTAGAACTTACGAACTGAACTTGGAGAGACCTCTGCTTGCCCATTCAATGGGCCGCTGGAATAGGGTGGTCTTGGATCTCTTAAAGGAAGAAGACACAAAACAGAATATGACTTCAAACTTGGAGATAAAGATGGGCCAAGTCTAAGCTGCTAAGAAACCACTTATTTGACCCCCGGGAGCCAGGTATCTTGGCCTATCTGCCCCCTTTTCAACCTGCAGTCCATCTTCCTGCAATGCCTTAGTGCTGGGGGACAGGGACTTCATTGCAAAGCAGTCGTGGGCCTCCCAAATGCTGTTCTGAGGTTGCAGAGTCAGTGGGGAAATTTCACCAGCTGTATCATTACTGTCCTGATTTGAGTGAACACAAAAGCTATAATAACAAGACCAACACCAAGGGGCAGCTAGCAAATGCCTACTTCTAATTATAACAAGGGCCAGATGTGGCAGCACACACCTTTAATCTCAGCACTCGGGAGGCAGAGGCCAGCTGATCTCTGTGAGTTGGAGGACAGCCTGGGCTACATGTTGAACTCCAGGACAGCCAGGGCTACATGATGAGATCCTGTTTTGTTTTTTTTGTTTTTTTTTTTTTTAAATAAGGGCTAGTGAGATGACTCAGTTGGGTAAAAACACTTGCTGCCTAGCCTGATGAGCTGAGTTCAAGTCTCTGGACCTACATGGTGGAGGGAGAGAACTGACTCCCAGAAGTTGCCCTTTGACCTCCACAAACACACACAGTGAATGACCAAAAAGTTTTATAGTATGGAAAATACATTTTTAAAATAAAAAGATAAAGAAAATTAATGAGGGTGCTTTGTAGTTAGCAAAATTAATATCCTATATGAGCTATCTATCACTTCGTTTTTCTTAAGCTGGAATGCTTTCTCTAGAAGGACATGCTCTGGTGAAGACAAATCTATGACCCACAGGTGACAGAGTGGCCCAGGTGAGTACTTCTCTTCTCTAGGTCTCACACAAAGGAACTTGTACTAAAGCAGCAGAAGACGTCTTCCATGAAGACATGGAAGAACTAGATACATATGAGGGAGACACAATCCCAGGAGCTTGTGCTATCCAAGGGCGGTAAGATCTGGACTCAGATTACTTAGGTGTGATCAGGTGTGATCCTGTGATCTGCGGCACAGGAATGGCACATTTCAGTGTTGGAGGAAGGTCATCTCCCGTGGGGTCACCAGGGCTTACAGGAAGAACAGGTATGATATGTGCAAAATGAAATGGAGGCCGAGACTCCTGTGGCATGGGTAAGCAAGGCACTCACTGCTCAGAGTAAGAAGAGTTCTTATTGGAAGAGAGACTTTCTGGGGAGAAGAAAGAATCCAAATGGAAGGATCACCCAGGTTGTCATTTTAAACTGTTGTGTTTAAACGTTTAAACCCGAGGACAGAGATGGACCTTTGACAATATACACAAGGTGGTACTAAAGCTTTCTAAAGGTTCCTACTGGGTCAGGGAATTTAGCATTAACGGCAGGATGGCTGGTGGGACAGGGGACTTGTCACTCAAGTTGTACTTTCCATGAGTCCAGGTTTAAATATACAGCTTGGCCCTTTAAGGGAAAAATTCGACCTCCTATACAAGGGACACATTTATTATGAAGACATATTATACACAAAGTATAATCCTCTAACGTTCTAAAATACATATGCATACTGTACTTAAATTTATATTATCAATATAAAAATACATCATTAACATTTCTAAGGATGACAAATACAAAAACAATAAATATCACAATTCTACAACGTCTACTTACATTAATTAAGTGCTGGTGAACAGGGTGACAGACAGTGAAGGAGGAGGCCACAGCAGTTCCAAATACCAACTACTGGCTTCCCATTACAGACGAGCTGGTTGGGGAGCGATCCCAGTATTCTCCACATACCTTTCAATGTCCCCAAACTCTGAAAGTGCCTGATGTCATCAACTCTCAAAAACAGAGTGAAGAAAAAATTTGACATATGGCATTATTTTCTGATCACTCGTATACACTCACTTTAACCGCATTTAGTGAGATAAAAAATGTCAATCACAGACTTAAGCTTAAAATCAACTGGCCCTTCTAGGGAGTACTCCAGCAGAATGCTTCTCTTCTCATACTTCTCTTTTGTGGTACACATTTCATTGCTTTTTCCTTTTAAAAAGTAAAACTGTGTCGATCAAATAGCACTAATGAAGGGGACAATCCAACATCAACTCAAGCATTAGGCACAAGTGTCGGGAATGGTCAAGGGACCTGCTGTGAACCTCAAGAGTACTGTGCCCTAATAGACACATGACACAGACTTGGCCACAGCTTCTCCGTGTCCAAACTCCCAGTGGATGACAGCCACAGAGCTTTTCTTCCTATAATATTGAGGGAACTCTCTGCGCTTTTCAAAATGTGAAAGACTAGGTCTAATCCATTTTACCCATGGGCAAGATTTTCAGACTTTAGCAGACATATACAAGTAGCAAAAATAATCTGTGAGAGTTGCTGTAAGCCAGCACATTCTCCTCTGGGTATGTTTGGATGATGTAAGTGGAGTAGCTGATATGTGGTTGAGAGGAGGAAAAGGGGAAAAGGCATTGTTACCATCCGACAGCACACACTCAGTCAGTCGGGGCTTCTTGTTTTCAGTCAAAGGGAACTCTTACAACCATGCCCTCCCACTACCAGGTCACACTCACTTTTTCACTTACAAATGTAAGAGACTAACCAGAGTTCCTTCCGTTGCCTTCACACTAGTCTGGAGGTCTAGAACTCAGGGTGACCCCGCATGAGCCTTTTATTCCAGAGAGTCACTACAAGAGCTCCACTTGTCCGGAGTCAGAGCTGCAAAGTGGGCCTGGGAGCGGGGGAATGGACAGTGCTAAGGGAGAGAGTACCATTGGAGAGACAGACGTAAAAAAGCAGATGTGCACTTCAAGACGATTGTTTCCTTCAGAATGGAAGTCACAGAATCCGTTAGATCTGTAGAGTTCACAGGTCAGGATGCAGTCTGGTCCAGAATGTAGTTGGTCTCTGATGTTCTTGTCATGAATGTTTCTTAAGAGGTCAAGTACAACTCAACAGAACCCACTAATCGACACGTCACTACTGACTTTGCCATTACAGAACCGAAGGAGTTCTGAGACTCCTCAATCACTTTTGGGAAGGACCTTTCGGAATGATGAGACCTCTACGTCACCAATACCCAGAGCTACGGAGCCGACTCAGGAAATGGCAATGATCCTTGGGTAGAACAGATTCTTCTCTTGCTGCCAAATGTCCTCAGAGGTGCAGAGTGCCAGGAGCAGGGGAGAAGGGCAGTCTTTCCCCAGGAAGCACGCTGTGTGCGTCATCAGAGCGACACTGGGAAGGGTACTTGGTTGTGGTCTTCAGGACACTTGTGCTGGAGCGGCTGCTACTTCTTGGGTTTCTCTAGGATGTTCAGGAATTTCCCCCTAGTCATCTCTCTGGCTGCAATCATAAAGTAAACAAAGCAGCAATGAGAATTAGGAAGGGAAAAGGGGATCACAGGAAGACTTAAGTTACACATGAAGATCCAACTCCCCCAAAGTTGTCGCCTGACTTCCACACCCTTGTCCTGTGCACCTGCACTTATAAACATGTTAATATGAAAAAGTATATTGGTAATTAAATCAACTGTACACCAAACTGCTACCCCAACAAATTCAATCACCACTCATGTTCTAGCAGAGGAAAAGAAACCACCACTGACAATTATGACTGGACAGCATATCTCAAGTCAGCAATGTCTAAGGTCCAGGGGACGGGGGTGGAGGGTGATTATCAGCTTTCCTTACAACAAATCACCAGGGAATTCCCGTAAGTCCCTCTGTTAGTCTCTCAGCCCTAATGCTCATGTTTACTATCTTATAGCATTTGTTCTGGGAGGCTAAAATCCAACTAGGAACAGAATCTTGTCTGGACTGTTGGTCTCTGCCCATCTAGAAAGTCAAATCAAAACCCTCCCTCTGAGCTGCAGTGGGAGGCCCTGTGTGCTGTACTACAGCAGGGTTTATATCCCCTCAGTGCAATTCATCTGGGATGGTGTAATAAAGCAGGGTTTATAGGGCTTTGGTCTTCTCGCTTGGCATTGTCAGCCCGTAGGTATTTAATAGAACCAGGCAAGGTTTATGTGTCTTTCTCCGACTTTCAGCACCGTCAATCTCTGAAACCTAGCTACTGCTAGGTTTATTCAGCCACTTTCCTGTATGTCAGGCTCCAAAGTAAAAGTAAAACATTTCCCAAGCAGAAGGGCCACCACTCTAGAAGGCCCCATTAGAGTTCTGTCAAGCAAATTTTCAATAAGCATGTGTAATGTGACCTCCACCCCTCTGCAGCCTTCCACAGAACCATCTTTTCAGATCTCTTAAATGGACTTAACAGTTCTCAACAGTTTCTGATGGCTAGGCTGAGAAGCCAGAAGTCTTCCAGAACTATGCAGTGAACATCGGACGGTGGTGTCTCGGCCTCACAACATGTCCATCTTGGACAAAGAAAGGAAGTGGCTAGGGAGGCACCTGCAGTAATGAAAGGGATGTTTGCCCCATCTTCTTGTTGCCTTTATCTAGGACAGAGCAAAAGACTCGAGACAGATCCTCCACTCCAATCAACCTAAACTTAACAGCGGCTTGTCTGCCGGGCCTGATGGTAAAGGCCTGGAATCCTGGCCGGGGCTGGATAACTTCCTAAAACCCAGTCCTAGAATAAAGTGAGTAAAACAAGGCCTGGGGCTGTAGCTCAGTTGGTAGAGTGCTTGCCTAGAGGGCAGCAGGCTGGAGGTTCAATCACTGCCTGCACCCCAGCTCCTTCTATGTACAACCTGCCGTCACAGGGATGCTTTCGGTATGTCAGTCCGTCCTCCCAGTGTTCACCAGCCCCGAGCTCCAGCAAAAGGCGGACATTCTGTCAGGTAGGAGTGCAAGTTCAGGGAGAGCTGTCTCAGTGCTGCCCACGCCCAAATCTGAGCCTTCCTTGGTGGTTTACACAAGTTTTGTACACATTTCCTCTACTAAAATGTCAGAATTGAGGGAGGCCTATTGAATAAATCTGGTCACATACACAATAATAAACAAGAGAATAAACAGGAACACAGCAAGCGCTAATGCTTCCTTTAAAGTCAGTTATGCCTAGACAGTGGCTATCAGTGAACCATTCTCTCTATATGGTAGGTTTTTATTTCCATCATTCTTTTTTTATTTCAAGAAAATATTTAATTTTTTTTTTCTTGAGACAAAGTCTCTATGTAGCCCTGGCTGGCCTGGAACTCACTCTGTAGACCAGGCTGGTCTCAAACTGGCAGAGATCCACCTGCCTCTGTCTCCCAAGTGCTGAGATTAAAGGCGTGTACTACCTACTAGGCCCAGTAAAAACAACAATAAATTTAGGTTTATTTACTTTGTGTGTGTGTACACAGCGCCCACAGAAGTCAGAGGACAACTTGTCGGGGTTAGTTCTCTCTTTCCATCCTGGGTTTAAGGGACTGAATTCAGATTGTAGGCTAGGCAGCAATTACCCTTATTGGCTGAGCCATTTGAAGGAAGTAATGTCAAATTAATGGAGATCAAGGTCAAGGACTAACAACTCTAGAGGAAATCCAATCAACTACTTAGCTAAGGGGAGACGGCAAGGCCATTTTATAGAGAATTCAGGACTTGGGGTCGGGGATGCAGCTCGGTTGGTAGACTGTTTGCCTAGTACTACATAAACTGAGCATGGAGGTGCATGTCTGAAATCCCAGCACTCAGGAGACAAAGGCAGAACTTCAAGGCTGTACTTACAAAGTCAGTGAGAGGTCAGGATGACTACACGGGGGGGGGGGGGGGGGGGGGGGGGGGGGGGGGGATCAAAGAGAAGAAAAGAATCTGAACTCATTTCTAGCTCAAGAGCAGTAAGGTACTGGGCAAGCCTCAGGCTGGACAGGCTAAGCCTCACCGTCCTCCTCTGAGCAGCAGGAGCAGCAGAGCCCATCTCCACCTTCTCTTGGATGGTGGCCATCGATCACTAACAACGGTTTTTAGAGATGGCAAGTGACTAGTTTTGTTACTCCCACATTTTGAGTGAATGAATGGATGAATAAGGGAGGTCAGAAACCTCAAAACTCCATTGACAGAATATCTACCCTTATCTTTACAAATTTAATTTCCTTACACTTTTGGGTAGAGCGGCTACAAGGGTTAACTGCCTACTCTTGAGGGTAAAGTATAAGAACTTTAAACCCAAACAGCATCAAATCAGCCTGCAGTGTGGCTGGAGGTCAGTGTGGAAACCAGAACCCTGACACACCCTGATTTCATTGGTGATTTCTGCTTGCTGGTGATTCCAGACTTCCCAATTCCTTACTGGTATTTAAAATAATAGAGATTTATCCTTAATTATGTGTGTGAGTGTTTTGCCTGTATGCATGCATGGTTAGCGCCTGCAGAAGACAGAAGAGGGTGTCAGATTTCTCGGAGCTGGTGTTATAGATGGTTATAAGCTGCCACATGGGTGCTGGGAACTGAACCCAGATACAGTGTAAGAGCAGACAGTGTTCTTAACCACCAAGCCATCTCGTCACCTCTTACTTTTGCCCCAACCCACAGTGAAAGACTGACCTGAATGTGTTAAGACTTAGAATTTTAAAGACCCAAATATTTGAGGGCTCAAGAGTTTAAAAGGAAAAATAGACAGAGATTCTGAAGTCTCTCAGTGGTAAATTTTCCTCGAATTTAACCAATCCTTTTTTTAACAACTCCCTTTCCACTCAATCATTCCTCCCCCTTCGACCTAATCCAAGTATACAGAGTTGCAGGAAACCACCGTAAAAGTAGAAGTAATTCAAAAGACATCATCTTCTACATGGGAGGGGAAAGTTTCCCTTCTTGCCAGTCCCATATAGGAGATATACGAATGCATGACATAGCCGCTCCCTAAAAGAGGGCTGTGTCCTATAAATCAGCTCCTCAACACCAACCCCTTTTTGTGCACAGGGAAATTGCTACGGGTCAGGGGCTGCTCCAGAGCAAGTGCCCTCCTGTTCACTTGTCATCAGGAATGTTAACATTTCTGATGAATTCATACAGCCCTTATTTTATTCCCCATTTCTTTCTCCCTGCTCTCGTGATGTGTTGCAGTGTGAAGATTTTCACCCAACCTTCTACTGTAATCACTGCCCGCACATTGCACCCCCCTAAACCTAGTGAAATTGTTTAGTGATGCCAACCGCGCTTTTAATTTGCAAGACATCAGACACAGAGGTAATTTATACCAACATCTGTTCATTTTTGACTTCTGAAACAAACTCGCACATGCTGTTACAAAATCCCATTAGGAGTAAGGAGACAGCCTTCTGCTACTGTTTCCTATTCCTTACACACACACACACACTCTCTCCTCTCTCTCTCTCTCTCTCTCTCTCTCTCTCTCTCTCTCTCTCTCTCTCTCTCCTCTCTCTCTCCTCTCTCTCTCTCTCTTTCTCCCCTCCTCCCTCCAGGAGGGGTTATATATGTAAACATATTTGCTAATGTATTCTCACCAAAGGATTTCAACTCTCTCTTGGGAAGAGCGTTCAGAGCTGCTGCTTACTCTCAGGGGTAAGGAAGCTACTGTCGTCTCCTGCCTAGCTCCACACCCCCCTTCTTCCCAGTAGTTAGAGTTTGTTTTTTTTTTTCTGGATAAATGCCCAGGGTAAGATTCTATGTTCTTGAGCTTGGCACTTTTAGTTCCTCCATTTTCTCTGGGTTCTTCCCAACGCCTACAACGTGTTACAAAAGAAAACAAGGGCCGAGCTGGAAGACGCACAGTCACAAAGTACCTGCTGTGTAAGCTGAGGACCGAGTTTGGTCCCCAGAACCCACCTGAAAAAGCTGGGTGTGGTGGTGCATGCTTGTCAGCCCAGGGCAAGGGGTGGAGACAGGTGGAGCCCTGAGGCTTGCCAGTCAACCAGCCTAGTCTTACCTGGCGACTTCCAGACTAGCGAGACCTGTCTCAGGAAATAAGGTGGACAGCACGTGAGAAAGAACACCGAGGCTCCCCTCTCGCTTCCTCACGCACGTCTGCGCATGCACCCTCACACATGTGTACTCAGCACACAAAAGAAACAATCCCAAGAGCAAGGGATACAGCTCAATGGTAGATTGCTTGCCTAGCAGGTCTGATACCCCGCATCACACATATATAAGGAAAAGGGAAGAGGGAGAGGAGAAAAGGCCTAGAAAAAAGAAGTGGCTGGAGAGTTTTATCTAGTTGATGAAATTTGTGTTTTTCCTTTGGGGCCTATTGTCTAGAACTACCAGCTTGAATGGGAAGACAACATTACTACCAATGTAATGACAATGCAAGAGGGGCCCAGTGGCCATCAGCCACCAGACTATGTAATGTGCTGATGAGAAGCAACACCACGTCACACCATGATCTACAAGCCCTCCCAGATAGTGCACAGATCACAAATGGAGATGCGCACAACAAAGACT